CGGAAAAAATTATCGATACTCGAAACTCTCTGGCTTTACTGAAATTGACTCCGGAACGCATAATAATAATTATTGTTATGACTTGTAATAATTAGATTTATAAATGTCATCTACTATCTATATATTATACGATCATATAACACAGTGGCGTATTTGAGCGCAACTTTTGGTAATGGGGAGAGGGGGCATTTAAAAAAATATATATTATTGATTAGAATTACATTTATCATATATCACTTAATTTTCAAAACCAATTATACAACAATATAGTCCCCAATTAAATGGCGCTTAATATGAGCAAAACGGGAAATGCGCCCCTCGCAGCATCCACAAATATGCCACTGGCACACACAACGGTTGATGTACGTCGGAATTCACAATACTCGGACAAGGTGAATTAGTAAACGCATTTTAAAACTCGACAACCGGGGTCTTAACTCGCACGTTATCCTCCGTAAAATAGACACTTACAGCACGGTGGTAGCCGGAGATATGCGGTCAGGTATCCGGTCCAGATGCAGAAACATGCAGCGGACGGTGGTCTTGAAGCACATGCATTTGGCCGGGCACTCGGCGGCGGCCGATGGAAACGACGACGAGAACACCAACAGCAAAAGTAGGAGCAGCGGAGCGACCATCGTAGTCTTCCGTGAAACAGCGGCGGCGGCGGCGTCGACGCGGCGCCGACAGACGACGTGTTGCATCGGCCGAGTCATCGTGCGGACTGGTCGCGGAGCGCACTGCACAGTCGCACGTGCCGCTGCGTATAACGTAATAAAAATAATAATAATAATACGCACAACGCCGAACGGGTCCGGCTCGAGCGCGATCTGTTTTGTTCGAGTGGTTTTTTCGTCGTTGACGTTGATGTCACACTTCTTTTTAGTCCAGTTTCAGACGTCTCTCATCCGCAGAAAAAACTGGAAAAACTGGAAAAACTCATTTGAGCGCGTTCGTTCTAATGTCCGCTTGTGCCGCCTGCAGAACCCAACGCGTATACTTATATGGGTGATTTTAACAGTTTTTAAATTTCGATGTAATTTTTTGTTTTAAAAATAAAACACATATAGCACTTGAGCAGTTGGACCCAGCAAATGTTAGTCCAAGGTGAATATTATTATAAGCCTGTTGTTTTCTCCACTGGGCGCAAAAGCATTGAATCATATACCTAGGTATATAATAATATAATATAATATAGACATGTTTATGGTGATCTATGTGACCCATTTTTATTGTAGATCATATAGGTCTATCATTTCGTTTATCACACGAAATCGTTAAAATACTTTTTAAATATAACAGGTTAATGTTTGGTCGCCATTTCAACTGTAACGGGAAACACGTGACTAGAAATTGTTAAGAAAATAATCGATATAATTTAATAACGATTCAACTATAATCTTTATGATATAATATTATAATCAAGGGCGTTCGCAGGGGGAGGGGGGCAAGAAGGGGCAGTTGCACCCCCCTTGGCTTTTCTGCGCCAATTATCCTAATCATTATTGATGGTTTAAATGTCCTAAAAAAACTTTAAAAAAGCCTTAATCATTTCAAAATAGTGCATTAACTTATTTTTATTTTTAATATAAAAGATTTAATTAATTATAATATAAATTTGGTATAAATTATAGTAGGTATACATTTTCAACTTTTATAAAGGATTGTAAAAAGTTTTACAGTTAGAACTGATCGTTTTGGACTTCTTTAATCTGAAAATTAATTACTCTTTTTTATATAGGTTTAGATCATATATGTATTATCAAAATCATGTAAAAGCATATTGTGCAAATATTAAAACAAAGTGTAAAATTTAAATTCAAAAAAAAAACTTCAAAATGCTCCAAAAATCCTAAAATGCAAAAAATGACCTTAAAATTTAAAACCGTCAAGAAATGCAAAATAAAAACTTCTCATTCTATTTGTGTATGTTTTAAAACGAGTATCGCGATAGCTATAGTTTCGGAAAACAATACAAAGTGCATCGAAATCCTCTTGGTATAATTTAACTAACATTATCAAATTAATGGTAACATTTTATTTATTAAAAAAATAGGTATATTTGCTAATTTAAAATTACATAATATTTAATTAAAATGAATGCTGTAAGATTAGGTTTTAACTAACTATCCACGTATAATTCATAAATAATTTTTACATTCCCTGCCTATATGGAAGAAAATATGTCACAAATAATACTGTATCAATAATAAGATACCTATCTAGTGAAACAAAAAATTTAAAATGTAAAATATTTTGCCCTCCTCTTGACAAATTCATGCGGACGCCCTTGATTACAATATCAGTATTACCATTTCAACCGAACAGTCCGAAAAAATTGTTGATATCCATCCGAAAAACGTATGTTACAATTTTTTTCTGACGGTTGTAGCACTTACCATAATATCAAACACAATATAAGTATTGTGCATTTGCTATTTAATATAAAATATTATTACCTATAGATTAATATAAATTAACGTTGTTTTTAAATCATCGTACCCCCCCCCCCTTGTTTGCTAAACATATTATCATTGATTTTTTTATTTATTAGATCATAATTTATTCATAATTGTAACAATTTATTCAAAGTATCATCTGCTTAACGGTTGACAAAAAAATGATTAGCATCTGAAAAAAAAGTTTGTATTTCCACAAGCTACTCCTTGAATAGCATAAAAATGTTATTAAATATTTGAAAATGTAGTACTTCACTATACTAAGAAATTCCAAAAGAAAAAACAGAATTTGAAAAAATAGGATTGAACAAGCTTGAAAAATCACACTATACATACCAAGTAGTAAGTAGTTATCTCAAAAAGCGAGATCTTTGTTTAATTTCAGTACAATAAGAATTTTTAATTTTTACATTTATAAATTATTATTATAATATGCATATTGCATATACATAACACCTATTACAATTTAGTGGGTTTTTTTATTAATTTATTATTATTTATAACTATTTAAAAAAAAAGTAAGTAAATATATTCAATCATTTTTATTCAACATAATAATATATTATGTTATCAATGTTAGGTACAAGGTTGTATTATAGGTATATGATTAAACATAGGAGCTTTATTATTTACAACGTTTATTTAACTTACAAGAATACTTCGGTTTTAAATATACAGTTATATTATATTATGTCTATAGATAGAAAAGTGTCTTTTTATTTTTTTGATTAACATTTTGTTATTTTGTTAATGAAATAATATTGATATTAATGAATAGATAATCCCAAGAAGGTGAGAATAGAGCGCTATATCCTATAGGTATAGCGATGATGAATTTTACTGAGAAATATAAATTTAATGAGATATAACAACCGATGGGCAGTGTTAATTAATTGAAGTACGCATTATGACCGTATAAAATATGAACACGTGTATGAGTTAAATATATACAACTGCATTAAATAAAGTTTAAGTGGAATATATAATGATGTATGAACAAAGGTCAAAGACAAACAAGAACCTATACATCAAAATCCTATTATTGTGGACCCATTTTTTTCGTATACCGTATAAAATATATATAGTCATATTTAACTCGTTTAAATGGTATACTAAAATATAATTTAAAAATATTTAATTAGAATTAGTATATACTTACACATTATATAATAATTGTATATAATTTATAGCGTATTATATAGGGTATTATACTATTATCTAGGTATATCAATGGGAGTGTATTCAATTGAATAAAACTAAATGGTACTTATTATAAACATATTTATTCTTAGGAAACTATGTAGTATAATATAATTATTATTAACAGTAATAATATGACTTATGAGTTATGACTTTATGAATAATAAATTTTAATATAGTACACAAATGATTTAAAATAGTATACACCATGGCAAAAGTGTTATCTATGCATAACATTACCAAAAACGAACACATGTATCACTCTGGCAGTCAGGTCAATCATACATTTATAATTTACAATCATCACTCATTGCCTATTAGTGAGACTACTGAGACTTGAATGTGGCAGGAAATATTAAAACAATCAAACAAAACGATAACCAATCATCCATAACGTTTCGTACGTCGTAACTCGTAACATTTTAGTTTCTATATAATATTGTAGATGTACCCATTATGTACAAAAATATAATTATCAATAAACATTTTTTTCAGTAGGTAGTTAAAACCGTAATATCTGAAATAGTCTCAAAAATAAATATTTTTATCCACAATCTACCTCCTCCTTTCTTGCACAAAAAAAAATGTGTATCTTTGTCAATTTATTTTTTAATTATTTCCACATAGTGCGATGATACTTTCTTTTCTTAGCTTTAAAATTACTTCACAAAAAACGAAGCATTTTGTTTCATTTTATACATATGGACAAATACTTCAAACCAGATTGATAGTTAATGTGGCATTTTTTTTAATACCTATTTACAACTTACATAACATTAAAAAACTGTGTTAATTATTTGTGTTTTAGTATGAATTAATTCATAATAAATTCATTTTCTAAAGTATTACTTTTTAAATCTATTTCATGCATATATTAATATATTATGCAAACAATAAAATTGAGGCACAAGTTTCGGATGAATACAATGCAGACTGACAAGATAATTTTTAAATAATTATTCAAACATAATATGTTATACTACGACTTATAATATGTAAATCATTTCAAAATGATTCAGTTTGTTTGTGGGCTTGTGGCACTGCAGAATAGATTAAAATATTAAATTAAATATAATATCCCGTAGTGGTAGATCAATTTAACTTTGACCGGTTTTTGTAGCACCTAATAATATAAAATAATATGCATCATATTATACCAAATAAGTAAATTAACGAATATTTATGGTTAAAAAATTATCTTTAAAAAAAATATATTCTGCAATTATGAATGGCCCCCGTGTAACTTTTTATTAAAATTGCATTTTATTTTTACTTAAATATAATGGTATAATTTACTATTAATATTTAATAAACATACAATTTTATTTAAAAAAGATTTTTTTATATGTATGCGAAATGGCCAGGTCCAACTGGAGTATTTATATCCATTGGATTGCTCAGACGACTGGTAAAACGACTGTCTCTTCTGAAAATTTTTTGGTGAGATTTGCGTACAGGAGTTTTCGCTTTAACCTTATCAGCATCTCTCACGTATATCGACTTGACTACATCAGTGTACAACGGATATTTTTGTTGAAGCTAAAAACATCATTCCCCATTTCAATGTTATCCTATCCAATATTATAATATAATTATACTACCAATGGGGAAATTGTCTTAAACAAAACCGAACCTACCACACGCATTTGCTGATATATCTTCGAAACTTTTCAATTTGTTATTGTAATTTTTTAAGTATTTCAGAGCTACGTTTGTACTATCAACAAACATACATATTCTTACCAAGAATGTATAAATTGTTTTTATTATATCCAATACATTTTTAAAAAAATTGACCACAAAATTAGCATTTTTGAAAGAAAATTGGGCGGAACTCCAAATAACGCAGTATATTACAAATAGTAGTCTATAATTTAGTAAACAAATGCAAAGGAGGGTTGAACACCTAAAACCACCATATGTACGCCACTGTATGGGTTTATAACTTAATAAAGATAAACTTATGTAGTAATTAGTAGTCTGTATTTTTAACGACAGATTCTTAGAGGGACATACTTCTTCGTCGATTTCGGAGCCCAGTTCTTTAACTTCAAATCCTGGAAGAACGAAGGACTCTGCGTACGTACTACAAGCTTTGGTCTCGTTGGCGAGCTGCTGTTGTTTTTCGATCTGGTCCAACGCCTTCTTGGTCATTTGTTGCCACATAAACTCCTCCAACACGCGTCTCTTGCGCTCTTCAATGCAAATATGTTTTTAAACATTATATCGCACAAGAAAAATTGAAACGATAAAAAACCTCCAGACCCCCCCCCTCCCACATACACGACAAATTTAATCGTTTTTATGACGATTGTTATGACGATTGTCCTTGTCGTGCAATTTTGAGACTCACCGCTTTCGGTCTCGACAAGGTTTTCATCCCGCTCTTTCTTCGCTGCCACAACCGCGTCGTAATTTTCCCGGGTGACCGAAGGCTTTTTGTATTCGTTTTCTCCGCCGGGTGACATGAACATCCATCGTTGACTGTGCATTTTTCTCAAACAATTTGCTTTGTTTGATCAGTTTTATTTCAAGACTCAATAATATATCATTTAGCAGCCAAACTCAGCTCATATATGTTACGGACGTTTGTTTATTTTCTCTCAAATCACTATCATGATCAGCCAGCACGCGGTAAAAAGACATAATGCATTATACTATACATTATACCTACATAAAATTTAATATTTATATTCTTATAATATTAAGTATTCTTTATATTCTATACAGAGTATACTTGAAATGCATATAGCATTTTGCATTATGAGTTCTGCATGATGTAATTAATTATATTTTTTGTAGAGTATATTATTACACTAATAAAATATAATATATTTTCACATATTTCAATGAAATAGTAGTAATTATTATAATTAATAATAATTGAAATATAACTGTAAGCTAATGACCATAGCCGTTGAAACGTTTTGTTCAATAAAAAATGAAAAAATAATTTAAATTTAGGAATAGGATAATGCAAGTATTTTAATAATTATTGCCATACTTTTATAAATAATAACACTGAATATATTATTATAGTAGTCTGATGCAGTTATTTTGTTTAGGTTAAGCAATAATAATTTATAATATTTATTACAAATGTGCATAACAAGTAAGTTCATCAGAAAATATAGTATTCCATATTGCAGTTATATATTGTATACCTAATACATATATTCTAGTTAAGATTATAAATGAATTCAAAAATTCAAAAATCAATTCTTTCTTAAAAATGAAAACAGCAGTCTATTTTTTTAGTATGTAGCAAAATCTATTGTACCTAATAATTATTAGTTGAATATGATGTAATCAGATAAGTATCTAAAATCATTTATCCAGACCAGCTAGAATGAAATAAACTATTTCATTAATGTTGGCATGTTATGATAAAACAAAGGTAGAGGTATTAATAAATCAGGAAATAAAATTAGTAAGTATGTATAATTGAAAAGATGTCTACAAAACTTTTTCCTGCAAGCTTTTTTCCACTGTTCCGGCCGTTCCGGGTCTAGCTGGATCTTTAGGAACAGTGAAAAAATTGTGTTCATTTACACAGGAATGGTAACCAGATTTACATCCTGGCAACTATGTCCCGTCACGTTTAGCTTATTTAATATCAACATAGAAAATATAAGCTGAATTGTCATTCAATTTCAATTTGAATGTTTCGTATCGTCGTTATCCTTCGTTGTAATTTTCGGTTGTTGTCATGGCGGAATTTCTCTGACATAACCGCGGAATCTTAATTTTTTAGCAAGTCATGCGTATATAATATTTAGGATAAATGAAAAATGCTTATAACCCACATAAAAATTGAACTATCGTAAAAAGCCAACACGCAAACACAGATAATGTTCTTACCATCAAGTTTCATAATAGGTCGATTCACTCTAATTTTTAAGCTGGCCAAGCTATACGTGATCTGCTGAGCTCAGTGTTGCGCACCTGTAAGACGGGGACAACAAAATACGCAAGTGTTTACGTCCTCGTGCTGACAGAAACCTCGTGTTCGAAACTGATGCGCTCGCCGAGAACCAGGAACGCATAAAGTAAAGTTAACCCGCAGGGAAAACGAGAACCGAAGCGTGGCCGTGAACCGTGGACCGTGGTGATGTTTTTTGCGCCTCCGTAGGTACCAGGACCGCATGTACCGGGGTCGTCGTCACTGCTGCCGCCACAACCACCTCTACGGAAAATAATAACCCAATATATAATATTATTATCACAATAATATTATAAAATCGAGCCAGAACATAGACTAATAACAATACTGCTACTAATATTAGTATTACTGTATTAGAAATAATTTGTTATGTACGGCCAAAATATTATCTCACATAATATTATAATATTATGTTCCGTGGTATCATTTGGAATAAAAGTAAATACAAGTCTAGTTTATCATTATCTTAAACATTGTTCAATATGTGTTCAAATAATCGACATTTAGTGACAGTTGTAGACTTGTAGTCTTGTGTAAAAATGAATTTTGAAATTGTTATTAAGTGAACATAAAAATCGAATATCGGGCGAACCGATGGCCGGCAGAATTAATATTATAAAAGGCGGAATCGATAAAACCTCCTCAATATATAGTGTGTAATAATTTTGTTTACCCTGTCCGTTATTTTATCATGTCCATTTGCGTCCACTTGCGCACCGGACCACAGCCCATTGGCTGTAGTTGTTGTCATGTATCGACGTGTCACCTGTCGCCATCATCTGCGAAATATATCACACGCTGTGCGTCGGGCATTTATCTCTCCTGGAGTAGGCGCCATAAATCGGACGCCGACTTACCACTGTCCGCGGTTACGTATTGTTTCTTTCGCGTGTGTCAACCGCAAGGAGTAACTTCCAGCAACATTGTTTTTTATTTTAAAACGTTTTTTATACATTACAATCAAATATTTGAAATATCATAATGCATTAAAATTAATTTTTCCCTTGAACTTAAACTTGTGGCGGTGGGACCAAATTAACCAATTTTCGAAATTAAAATTAACAATTTAAGTTTATAAACTATTTACATACTAATATATATATATATATAAAATCCAAGTACCACTTAGTCACTGATCGCTGTAACTCAAAAACCACGCAACGTACGAACTTGAAATTTGGAATAGAGGTTTTTCTCATATTTTCGCCGATATTTTTAACTTATCATTTTTGTTCTTCATCTAGTAGATAAGAATTCTTCCGAGAAATTATAGGGATATAATGTAAATATGAAAAAAAAAACAAAAATACACACTGGCGAAGCCGGGTAATTCAGCTAGTATATTATACATAACTTAGTAGGTATATACAACTAATATTAAAAACTTAATTACTCGGTTCACTTAATAACCAGTTTACATTAGAGTTTTTATATTTTATCAAACAAATATTATACTTTTTATTACAATTATACAATTTATTTATTTATTTAACTAAGGCATTGCATTTAAATTAGACGAACCTAAATATTCCAGCAAATGTTTACCAGAGAATTTTTCAATGTTCACAACAAGAACATCATTATAAACTGTACATTCTCAGAACATGCATATTATTTCATTTTTTTTTTTTAGGTAGCTTATGTTAGAATTTTAACAAAAGTCGTCAGAGTCGAGAAAATTTGCTAATTATTATGTAAGTAGTTAAAAATTCATCAAATCTTTAATATTCATATAGGTATCCAAGATTTGAAGTTTTAATAGAAGGTTCCTCATAAGTTGTTATGCTAGATCCAAACAAATTTATGTATGTTTTAATTTAAAACATAATTGTTACACTTACCTGTAATAACGGTTTGTTTACATTTAAATTAACTATATTTTTTTTTATTACGATGTTCAAAATACTAAAAAATAGTATTTTTCACATATAAAAATAAAAAAATAAAGAAATACATTATTTCATTATGAAAAAATAATGTTTTGGCCGTATACTATTATATTAAGTTGCCATGAAGTTCGATTACTTGTTATTTTTGGTATAGTATCGGCTGTGCATTTTTCTGAATCATTTGACTTTCCGACTTTGCTCTGTTAACATCACGTATTAAGTAATCTTTAAACTTTAAACATGTATAACAGCAAAGTTAACTTCACTGCGCCTAGAAAGGCTGGCAGAGATGAAAAAAACAACGAGAACAAATCTGAGGCACACCAAGTGGAAACTTGTACTGAACAACGATGGGCTGACGTGGACGAGGAGCAGTGCCTTCTAAAGCTGGCCCCGTCCCACCTACAGTTCTTGAGAACAATATCCGACGGCATCCAGTCCCGACCATCGTCGCGCAAACTGAACGAGGCTCCGCGGAAAATGCTAACAACGGTCGACGAAACAGGCTTGGATCTATGTGGTGTCGAAAGCGTTCATTGTACGGAACAGCCGTCGGAGACGACTTCGCCCAACGACATCGTAACGGCGTTGGAGAAGAGACGTCCTGTGGCCCTGATGTCATCGAAAAAACTCCGCAAAAACGCCACACTCGTTTTATCCGACGTGTTAGACATGTATCTGCGTTCTGCTGCGGTGCAGAGATCGATAAATGTGATATTAACATCAACTGAAGAACAGACGTCTACGATTTGGGACCCTGCAGTTAGAAAACCTGTCCTCCACGTGACCGATGTTCGTCTGGCACGTTGTGAAGCAGCGAAACTGATACGGAGACTAAGACGGAACGGGGCTCCGCGAAAAATACCCATGACAGGCTTGGAGGATGCATCTGGTGCCGAAAGCGTTCATTGTACGGAACAGCCGTCGGAGACGACTTCGTCCAACGATATCGTTACGGTGTTAGAAACGAGAAGCGTACAGCTGGAAAACCGCAGGCCATTCCTATCGGCTTTACGGAGGAGACTCCGTAAAGTCGGTAGGAGGCTGTGCTGCTGGTGTGGCCCGCCACCCTCAGACCAGTAATAGGGTAAGCCTGTCCGGCTACCCTCATTAGATGACGAGCGTTGGAGGTTTGGCGAACGGAATACCCATCGTACAAATCCATTTTTCACGCTGCAGTTATCTAATATTTAGTTTTTTTTTTTTTTTTAATTTTAAGAAAAGTTCTGAACCAATGTTATAAATATGTAATTCCAAAATTGTACCCCCCCCCCCTTCTCACTGATCTTTTCCGCAGTCCTGTTCTGAAAAATCGATTTGGTTTGTTAGTATGACTATCTATTATCTGGTAGTAAGCGATAAGCGCTGAAACGATAACGGTTATAGAAATCAACCGGTCCCGTCCATATCACGATTTCTGAAAATAATTAAATTTATTAATTATTCCGTGGAAAAGGACGATTTTTGAAAGAAAAAAAAAAATTGAAACTTCTACTTAACCACAGTTATGGCCCATGGTAGCTAGACGTTTCACTTTAAGAAAATACTTCGTCATGTTCCTGTACTTGAGCAAAAAGGTGGGTTCTATTTGTAAAAAGTCCATTATTATTATTATAATGATATGATTGCCGTGTTTAGATCGCTATACCAAACAACACAAAAATCAACTGTCTCGAATGGAATTCTAGTCAGGATTGCATAGCGGTGGGTGGAGACGATGGACTTTTGAAAGTGTTGAAAATCGATTCTGGTACTACAGCGGATGGTAAGCTCAGAGGACTTGCAGGCCAGGCCAACCTATCAATAAACAAAACTCTT